ATGTGAATTGGTTACAGGACTACATCTAGCATTGGTCTGTGCTTAAAATACTACAACGCTGTGAAATTCACTGGGCTCTGAAGGGTATAAAGACCTTAAAAGTTTATATGCAAAACTCTTTTGCATTGATCTTCCATATATTAAAAATCATGCTTTATTCTCTTACAGTATCGCTTGCCAAATATATTAAGGACATGCTGCTCCATTGCTAACTTCACTGCTTTACAATAATGAAAAATGATCAAACAAAACTTTAATCAAAGCTGCTATTGGAGTTTGTCCTGTATATTTTTATATGGTTAAGGAAAGTTTGCAAATCTGTTTTGTTAGTATTGAGAATATTAAAAGTTTTCTATCCCACCCCCTACAAACGTCTTTGGACGGCTTACAATGAATGAGTAGAATAAAACAAACCCCACAGCATCTGACTATTAATATACTAAAACCCCAGTTAAAATCAATTAAACATTAAAATAGCAGGAAAATAAAAAGGGTTATTTTATTCTCTCTCTCTCTCTCCCCCCCCCCCCCCCACTGGTAAGTGAACAATATCTGAACTTTATACAGGTGAAAGGTGAAATAGACAAAATAAATAGAATCCAGAAAGGGAAAGGAATTGCACAGTGATAGGAAATGACTTCTGCAATATGAGTGGAAGAGAAAGCACAGGTGCTTCTAACTTCATAGTATTTTTCCTGCATTGACAGCTTGTCCATCTCGCTATGGACTAGAGAAAGCTCTCTAGACAGGCCAAAGGGAAAGGGAAGTGTGAAGCATTTAGATTTCACCCCCATTCCCAATCCCACAATGTTGAAAGTTACTCTGAGTCAAATGATTCTAAAGTAGGCATCTCCAGGGTCAAACTATACCAATGAAATCTATTCTTTTTCTGAGGCTGATAGAGGGATTGTTTTCATCAGAACTCCAGTGGTGGAAGAAAGGGTTCTTTGGACTCCCTGCATGCAGAGGTCCTAATAAAAGCCTCATCTCTTGTGCTTGCTATTACCTTTTATTAACACTAACTTCTCAGTGGCACCTCTATTCATGCTGCTATTTTTCAAATCCTTTATATGATTTCTCCTGCACAACTTTCATCTGTGCATATCTGCAGAAGTTCTCATTTCTGAGAGCATAAGAAAGGCAGGCTGGGTGCATCCAGTCCACCTGGTTTGCCACCATGTACACCGGATCCCACAGACTTCTCAGCAACTGGTGCATGCAGGCAGGCTACCTCTGGTAGCAGAGGCAGCACATAGCCAGCAAGGCTAGCGGCCACCAATAGGCTCCTCCCCCATGAATCTGTCCAATCCCTTTTTAAAGCCATCCAGATTGGCAGCCATCACCACTTCCCATGGAAGCGAATCCCATAGTTTAGCTATATACTGCATGAAGAAGAGCTTCCTTTTAGCTGTCCTAATCCTCTCACCACCCAGCTTCATGGGATGACCCTCGGTTTCAGTGTTAGGAGAGAGGGAGCAAAATGCCTTCCTCTCTACTTTTTCTACACCATGCATTAGTTTTAACACCTCTATCATGATTCCCCTTACTCGTCATTTTTCTAATCTGCCCCAGTGGTCATGAGCTGCTCCAGCCACCTGATCATTTTCGTTGCTCTTCTCTGTACTCTTTTCTTACTCAGATGAGGCAACCAGAACTGTATACAATGTTATAAGTGTGGTAAGACCAAAGATTTGTATAGGGGAAGTACAATCTTGGCAGTTCTATTTTCTGTTCTGTTCCTAATTATGCCTATCATGGACTTTGCCTTTTTCACAGCAACTCTGCACTGGGCTGACATTTTCATCAAGCTGTCCACCACAACCCTAAGCTCCCTCCCTTGCTCAGCCACTTGAGCGGCAGTCACCTTGTTTTATTGTCAGTGTCTCAGTTGGCCCAGTTGTTAAATCTGTGACAATATCAATTTAAAAGTTCATGGGCTTCCATGCAGCTCTAGACCTGGTCAACCCTGCCTAAACCTAACTGTAATAAGCACCAATGTACAGTAACATATTTACCCAATCAACAGCATAAGCCCTGGATTATGAGCATCACAATGTGGCAGAAGATGAGCACTGAAATGTTTATGCACAATCACATTATCTAAACATGCAAAAGATGGTTATCACGTGTGGCCTTCCCTTCTGGACTATGGTGATAATGCATTCATCACTGCATATTTTAAAGAAGGATAAAAACAGTTTGTAAACATGTTGACTTTAAAGTAGGTTTGTAAATAAAACACATTTTTTTTCCAGAAAATGTTGAATTGGAAAATGTTCTGATGCCCTAAATAGAATATGATCTGATTTAAGATTTGTATTGATTTACTGACTTGCATGTTAAGTGTTATGTTCGAAGGACCATTAGTGTTTCACAGGAAATACTGAATGGCAAAGCAATTAAATAAAACACAGGGAAAGAATGATCCTGTGGCCCCTAGACATTGCCTGAGGACATCCAGGATAGTTTGGATTCCCAGCTCCAAGGAGGAGACAGCATTCTGACTTTGGAGCTGGGAATCAGAGCTGTACACGCACGCACGCACACACACCAGACCCTCACAAGCAGCATGGAAAGAAAGGTTCTAGCTACCCTTCGGGGTTGGGAAAGGAAACCTTTGGATTAAAGGGGGCATTTCAGGGCCCAGGAATGGTGGAGACTTGAGCAACCAGGATATGCTGTATTCTGAAGCTACTGCAGGCCCTTCTGCATCCCTCTCGCATCATTTGCTACATGGCTGAAAGCATCAGTCTAGGAAAATGAAGAGTGGAAGAAGCAGGGAGGTAATAATAAAGCACTTCTCACTCCACAGTGGACGTGCATGACCTCCACGTTCACTTCCCTAGGACTTCATTCTTACAGTGCAATTTTAGACATGTCTACTCAGAAGTAATTCCATTCAATCAATGGGCCTTACTGCCAGGTAAGTGGTATGTGACTGAAGTATTACATTTAAATGAATTTAAAGTTGATGAGGTAAAAGAGGCATGCCATGGTAGGTACTCGGTGCCCTTTGAAAGCAAACCCTCCCATGACATTGCCCAGGAGATGTTTCCCATTTCAGAACTATGCAAGTGCACACTTCTACACTTGCACAAGTCTAATGAACCAAAGGAAACTTAAAATTATGAAAATATCCATGCACATTTGGGGCACAATTTTTAAGAAATAGGTCGGGAACCAATGATAGTCCTTCCAATGTGCCACTTGTAGGGACTGTTGCTGGCTGTTAACTTGGAGATCTCTGGAGGGGAAGGAAGAAAAGGGAGAAAATGGCTATGGCACGTGAAAAAGAGCACACACTTGGCAACAAGAGAGAAGACAAGATACTTAACTGCTGTAAAGTTCCCTAAGATACCTGTGGGAGGACTGAGGAGGAAGGAGGGGTGGACAACCCATGGTGATGCCTCTCCAGAGGACACCACAGGTAGTTTCCTTAACAACCCATACTGTATAGCTTACTTGTATGGTGGGTTGTCATGTGCAAACCTGCCCATTCTCTGCCACCTGCCAACTGAGTTCTGGGACATTCTGGTACCTGATTTCTGAATGGTCAGTTTGAGTATATCTTCTATGATGCAAGTGTCACAAAATAGGGGCCTTGTGAATATGTTGCTGCTGAGGGTCACTGCGACTCAGTTCAATGACGATTGGCTTCTAAATGGAAGGTTGTTCTTTGCAGTGAGCAGTGGTTCATGTTCTTTACCAATTACTGAAAGAAAAAAATATGAAGTCAACCCACCCATTGCTGATGGCAGCTGCATGTTTTAAAGTCAAACCTCAATATTTTGTTTAAGCTGAAGAATATATTCTAGGCTTTAAAGTGCATTTCACTTGGTGCAAGTTAGAAAACTTTTAAATCATGGAATCCGTTTAAAATAATAGTCAACAGCAAGCAGTGGGTTTCCATGTGTATTTTAAGAAGCAGGACTGTGAATGTAAACTGAATGCAGCAGAATATTTTAATATGGAAAGCAACAGATGGAACATGCTAAAGAACAGCTTTCTACTTTCTCTTACACTTCATTTTAGTAAAAATGCAAATAAGCCACACAAAACTCAGTGCTGCAGGAGGACAGGCATTCTGGTGTCACATTTGCTAAAACAGTTCAGCCCTAATATGAATTTATTGACAACATTAGTCATATAAATATGAGTCCTGAAATGTAGTAGAATGCTGAAATAAAAACAATATAATTTATACAATGTATATTATTCTGGTTTTAAACTATGTCTGATGTGTGCCTTAGCATTCTGGCACAATGACAATAACAAAATTCTGGGAAGTTCTTTCCTTTGCAGGTTTATAATTACCCAGTTGTTCAGGCATCCAGTATGATGATGCTGTGATTGTCTGCCACACAAGACATTCTACAAATGCAAGACTTCTGCCTGAGAATGCTTTGGTCTCTTTGTCTTTCAGGATCAGCATGATAGCACAAGGATGTTCTATCCATTTGATAGATCATCCATGTCTTTATACTGACTTCAGCAATTTAGATGTGACTACAAAGAGAATCTGAATATAGTAATACACATTACTATAATAGACATATTATGCTTATATACACTTATTATGACCAGTTTACCCTTTAAGAAGCATGGGTAACAACCCAGCCTGCCCATGGCTTATGTAGGGACAGGAATGCAGGCTTTCATTTATTTGCCATAACAGGAAATATTCCATGTATGTATGATTGTTTCCTTACTGCACAAATGGACTATTTCATCTAATATCTAGAATGAAAAGTCTTTGTGGGTGAAGACTCGGGATCCCATCCATTGATATTTACATTGGATGCATTTTGATGGTGGAAGCTGGCCTTCAGCTGTGTATGGGGAATTCACTACCTGCCTGGATAGGGTTGAATTGCATACAGCAATACACTCCTTGGGTGTCCACAGGGATCACATGCTTGACTTATAACAGAATGATGATTCATCAGACTTATGTTAAAGTGTTTGCAGCTGATGTTAATAACATGTATATTTGTTTCTAGATACTGTTAGAAGTTGTGTAGCAAAGGTGTTCTTCAGCTGCCCCCTGAAAGGTCATTACTGCCTGTACAGTAAATCCAGTTTTACCCTCATCAGCCAACAACCTCAGCTTTGGATCCATATCATGTTTCTCTTTCAGCAGGTGTGTGCAATATGAGCAATACATTGTGTGCATCTGTAGTGTGGGCACCTTGATCATTAACTTTTTGTAATTCAAATCAATACTGGTTGCAATCTGTTGGGAGATGCTGATGCTTGGGACTGTTTCCACATGTCTTTGCGCCCATTTTAGGGGGTGAGCAATGACATCAGGGTTTAATACCATGATTTGTTTTTATGTAACCCTGTTGTCATAAGTGTTTTACTGTATATGCATGAAATTAAAATGACAAAATGATCTTGTAGGGCAAGGGTAGGCAACTGGTGGCCCTTCAGGTATTTTGTCATAAGGCTACAATGCCCATCAACCCTAACAAGCATAGCCAGTTTTGAAGCATCATGGGAGTTGCAGCCTTCCAGATATTTTGGCCTACAAGTTTCGCACCCCTACTGTAGGGAACCTAATTAAGACAATGGTTATCTATCTATCTAGATATCTATCCAGATATCCATCCATCCATCACACATGCACACACATTTAATGCTTTCAAAAGATATATTCGTTCTTATCCAAATTTCTGACTCAAAGCTTGTAAGTATGCCGGCTACTTTCCTTTGCCATAGCAAACCAGGAAAGCTCAACCTGAAAAGCTGGCCTGCTCATATCAAGACCCATGAAGTATTAAATGGGGCACATGGGTCAATAGATTTAAGCCATGATCAAGATGCTTGTATTCTAAGAATATACTCATTAGACTAAAGAAAAAGCTGCAGTCCAATGGGTGCAAGAATTGTTCTTCATCCTGTATTGAATCACTTATGGATTTTACTAGGTGATTCTTCTCCTGATGAGTTATTGTTTGTTACTGAAAATTTCCTTTGCCGTGATATAGAATTAGAAATAGCTTCATCATTATATAGTGATGACAAGTAAAACCCAGACAGTCTGCCTCTAGGCTGCAGATTAAACAATCCTGAAACATCCAAGAGCAACTGAAGAAGACTATAGTCTAGTGCAGACATAATTCTGGCTTCTTATAAGCCACTGTTTTTAAACTGGAAGTGAGCTTCAGGGACATGCACTCTCTCCCTTCCTTTCCTGCCTACCTTCCATTAGCAAAGAATAAAATATGGTTTACTGTGTACTGATGCTGACCAGGGTTGATACTAACCATGGTTTGTTCTAAGATTGTTGAGCTAATAGGAACTGGTTAGGGTCCAGCACTGGCTCTAAATTAGTGGATGATCTTAGGAGGTGGGAGAGGGAATTTGCCTTTGGAAGCACAGGTGTGAGTTCCTAAGACCATTTCCTGATTTCTATTCTATGGTATGTAGGAAGCCACCATGACATCTGCATTAAACTTGGTTCCAATATTGTGATCACTGTGATTTTCTAATAATTATAATGCTACTTCACATATCTTTAGCTATATTGGTTGTCTTTGCCATTATTCAACAACATCTTATTAAGTGCTTTTTGCTATAACATATTTTGCTTGATTTTTCAGTCATACTGGAGAAGGATATTGGCATACTGCAGTGCTTCGCATGGAAGCTATAATCATATAGAAAATGTAGCCTATACTAAACAATGTTGATGTTCTTGTAGGATTTGCTTTACTTTCTGAGGAATCTCATATTTTGACTCCTGCCTGCACAATAGTCTAAATATTCCATGAATAACAGTGCAAAAGCAAAGCAAGATAGAGCTCAATTTCACTATTCCTTTTCCACTAAGGAGAAACATGTTAGCATCTGCAGCTAAAGAGCTGATCTGCACATTATTTCAGGAATCCAGCCCAATTCCAGCACTGTCAAGACTCATTTTGTTCATATAACTCCTAATTCAGAGATGAATTAAGTGATCAAGACACAAGGGCGCCATTAAGGAAAGGAGGTAGAATTGCTTCCCTTCCGCATGGCAGATCGCATGTTCTTATTCCTCAAAAGCACCTATATTGCTGGACATGAATTCTTATATACTAAAAATGTAACTGCTTTCACTCCTCTTAACATTTGCTGCTTTTTCACAATTTACACTTCAATCTTTTACATAGTTACTCAGAGGTAAGTCCTGCGAGGTCAATGGTGCTTACTCCCAGGTAAGGCTATATTGGTTTGCAACAACCCTATACAAACTTACCTGGGGATAAATCCCATTTAATTCAGTGAAGCTTACTTCTGTGCACACCTGTATCGGATTAAACTGTAAACCTTGATCGCATGTGTGTGGTGGGGAGAAGCTGTACCATTGGCACACCAGGCCCTGTTGTCAGCAAAGGACACACGCTGCTACCACATCACACCCTTTCCACCACCGTGCATCCCCTTCTCATTTTGCTGCTGCATCAGCTGTACAGAGAGCTCCAGAATTACTTCTCCGACCCACCTGGCTCTCCAGAGTCCACATGGCTGGAGCAAAAGTAACGGGTCTACAGCAAGAGGAACAGAGGCCTCTGCCAAACATGCCTTCACTGTAGGACAGTGACCAGCAGGGCTCTTCTGAACATCTGTTGGAGGAGGCAGGGCATTGGGGGAAAGCTCCCACTTTGCTACCCGGTGCAGGCATCTCACCCTCTTTCATGGGAGAGCTGGACCTAGCCCCTCCTAGTGGAAATATGCCATCACAAAAATGTCTCATAAGTCAAAACAGGCTTTATTTACCAAAAAGAAGAACATGGGAAAGCTGCAGCTTCCTTGGTTCCCAGAAGCTTTTCCTAGCAATTCCATTTCCCTTAAATTCCCCTGTGCCTCACTACTGTTGACACCCCTGCCTTTCACAAATATGTGCCTTGCAGTTCCACATTGCCCACAGCATGGCTATTTTATTTGGCCAAGGCTGAAGAAACAGCATAGATAGAAACCCAGAGAACATCCTTCAGCAGGCTACTTGGCTTCCTTTGCAGGACTACCGCCCATGGGAAAAAATCCATTTGCTTTTATGTACTGAGGCCATGGTTAAGCCAAATATTTAAGCCACATGCTTATGTTGTGTACCACAGAATGTTAGAAATTGAATGTTTACTTGGAAAACCCTCAGAACAAATCTGGGAGGAACAGTCTTTCAGGCATCAGAAGAATTTTTTCCTATTCAAGGAAGAATGTAAGAGCCAAGAGTAGAAGAGAGATTGCCAGCTCCAGTTTTTGGTAGACCTTGGATCAGAAACTTTCAAATGGCCCCCTCTTTCAGTGAGTCTTGCATCTCACCACCACTGTCACCATCTTCTTTTACAGCATTGTTACTACTTGCTTATTTGATAGGCAAGGAACTGGTGGGTGAGCAGGCAGTGGTATCAGTTGTTCCCCTTTCTCACCACCAATGTCATTTAGGCTACAGCAACTGACAAGTGAATAAGCAGGTTGCAAGGATGAAAAGGAAGACACAATGTGGGATCCTTGCCAAGGGGGCCATGGTGGAGTATGAACCTTCAGCAGATATGCAGCCACACCCTTTGGTGTTGGCCCTGTCATTGTTAAGCATATGATGGGTGCAGAACAGCTACAAGCGAAGTTGGACAAAAGGATCTGAGCTGGACCATGAGCAGCCGTCTGGAGGAGCAAGTTCAGAGCTAGAAAGCAAGAGGACTGCAGAGAAACCAGGACAGGAGGGTAGCTCAGAAGGCAGGATTAGAGAAGCCAAGCCCAAAGACCAGTCAGGAACACAGCACAGGAAGAGAGCAATCAGGACCATAAAACAAGCCAAGAGTAAGAATGGAGAAACAACCAGGAGTGGCGATCAGGTCAGGAGTGGAAGATGAGCCTCGAGACAGGATCAAAGAAAAGAACAACCAGGATTTGAGAGCAAACTGGGAGGCAGGACCAAAGATCAAGACCAGAAGCACCCGATGCCTTGCTGCCTAAGCAAAGTTCAAGTGGGAAAGGAAGCTCTTAATACCTGTTTCTACCAGGACAATCCACTGGCCAGCCTGGATGGGCAGAGCAGGCCAGAATCCCAGGAAGCTGCATCTGCTCTGTTCTGCACTAGTAGAGGTGTCCAGACTGTCTTCAGAGGCAATTCCACTAATTATTATGTTAAATTATGTTAAATTCACACATTGCAAACAGCCTTTCCTGTTCCTTGGCCTAGAAGTCCTTAGTCCAGCTGAGTTTTCAGTTAACATACAGCAAAGTGGAGGAAAGACAGAAAATTTGAGAGAAGACAGGAGGTCCATCATCATCTTCATATCATATTTCTCATTTCCACTCTTCATAATTGGTAGAGGAACTGAATGGAATTAAAGTTGGAAGGGGCCTATAAGGCCCCTGAGTCCAACTTCTGTTCCATTTCCACATGTGGTCACCCATCCAGCTGCAGGCTTGCACCTTTCCAGTTTAGCAAAACTGGAAATTTTTGACATGCTTGCTCAATGGATAGTTGTGTAGGCAGGTACAGTGTTGCTGTTTTATTCATCTGGGTATCTGATGTATTTTGCCCTTACCCCAGTGTGGGGGCAGTACATTTTTATGGGTGAAGCAGAGTCCAATTGAAACCTGCTCCCTTCAAAGACCACTACTTTAAAATAATCTTGCTGAAGCATTCAGACTCTAATTCCTATCTACCTCCTACTCACTCAAGGTGTCATCTGTAGTGGATCATTTCACACTGCTCCACAATAGGGGCAGCTTTGTCTTTGAAAATCAATTAATAGATATATTTATGTATCTGTTCCTTTGGCTTTGCATACTCTCTCTTGTTCCCTCCACTCCCTCCCTTTGCCTTTTTCAGCATCTGAAATAATTAAAATGTTCCATTAGTTATCCTTATTCCTAGCTTTTTTACTGCCATTTATGCTTCAAGAAAATCCCATCACCAAATTGAAACCCTCAAATAGCAAATTTTCTTCTTGGAAACTCAGATACCTTGTTAGTTTCCTTTTCCCCTTACCATGCCACACACACAACAGCAAATTCTATTATTTGATGACTGCATCACATTAGAAGGCACAAAATGCCTTCTACCAGTGCCTATGAGTAGGCCAGCTTGGCCTCTCTCTGGATTTGGCTTCAGTACTCTATGCGCCAGTAACCCTCAAGTTAGATTAGAGCAATGCACTCTTCATTAGACTTTGCTTTGAAGATGGTTTGGAAGCCATAGCTTGCGTTGACTAGAATGACAGCAGGAACCAAAAGATCTGACTGTGTAACACTGATTCTGCCTTGGTTGCACAATTTGGTTGGACCAAATTGAAGGTGCTGGCTTTTACATACAAAGTCTTACATGGCTAGGGACTGTAATACTTGATGGAATGTCTCTCCCAGCATGAACCTATCCATATGCTATGGACATCACCTGAGACCCCTCTCTAAAGCTTCCTGCAAGGGAGATTCAAAGGTTCAAGCAACAAGGTTGGGAGCTTTCTCAGTGGTGGCCCCTTGACTACCCAGCGCAGTGAGCCCAGCACCAACATAGTCATCTTTGCAGTGCCAAGTTAAGACTTTCCTCTGCTCCCGGCCATTTGATAGCATATTCTAAGGCTTGTATTGGGCCCTAGGTTTTTATCATCAATTGTATAACCATGCTTTATATTTTTGGATATAAATGGTTTATTGTTTCACCATATTGTATTTTTAGCATTTGAACCTTTGTAAACTTTGTAAACTTCCCAGAGAGGTTTCCTATTGGGTCACATAGAAATGTAATTTATGGAATGAAATGCTGGCACAGCATTTGAACAGGCAATTATTTTGCAAAAACATATAATTTCAGGTCCCCTTCCCAAAAAGAGCCAGTAGTGTGGGACGCCTTCTGTGTCATGTGACCCCATGCTGCCGGAGGGTGAATATCATAATCATATAGTTTGGGGCAATAATGTCAGACTTTCCCGCCCAGCCAGACTCGTTTTTCCAGGAGAATATCTCCACGAACGCTCTCCACTTGCATTTGTCTTCTTTTTATGTGACCTGTGGGACTTGGCACATACTCTGAAATGATATACATATTGCTGATACTGATTGCAGATACATTGCTATTAGTGAAGTTGTCTGTCAGACTTTTTCTATAGTTACCTTAGAATGAAAAAAATAAGGAAATCTGTGTTGACAACTGGGCATAAGAAACAGGATCATGATATCTACAAGATGTTAATTGGTTGCTGAAGTTTTCATGTACTTAATGGTACAAATCAGTTTGAAAACATACAACTCAGGGAATTCAAATGTTCTGATTTTTCCTGTCTTAACAATATCTTGTATAAAATGCCCATTGGAGACAAATAGTATTTGTTTTTTTTAGAGAACTGAAGATGATTTGAAAGAGGCTGTTTTTGATCTGTATTGTATATATTCAAGTTTCTTGTCTCTCTGTTCAAAAAGGTGTAAAACCCTGTAAAACCAATTCGATCAGAAGTGAGACTGGGACAAAAATAGTATGTCTACTCTATGCTTGTTCTTAAAGAGAACAATGCCTCTTTACAAACAAAAACTTTATACTGTCTAAAAACTGTTCTGTCTCCAGGCTTCTCTTGGGTCATTTGTTATCATTATATATAATGCATTTAATGATATATCTTACTGTAAATTATAGCTGTAGCTATTGAGCCAACCTGGTTATACTATAAAGAGTTATTTGTACTGGTACTTTTCAAACCTTTTGGTGAGTTAATGGATCATCACTCCAAAAGCGAAAGGATGTGACATGATCTATTTTATAAATGGAACTGTAGAGATACTTCCGTGGCCTTAATTACATGATTGGTATCATTTGTGCTAGCACTCAGGAGTGTACTTACCAGAAACATGAAAGCCCTGACATTCAAGTTTCCCTTTCATTCTTGGTAATGGATTTGAATGTCACCTTTAAAAGTGTTTCTAGTTCTGCTGGAATGTAAGGCACCCATCCCACTCCAGCATATTTGCTTCTAACACATGCTTGTGTACTTTTTAAATAATAAGTTGTTAACCCTAATAATTACAATTAAAAAGATTCAAAATTTATGCTCCCATGCCTGACAAACCACTTCCAGCTTCACCTTCAGGACACTTACCTTGGGAATACCTAGCAAATACCAACGTTGTATGGTTTTTGGCACTTTTATTTCAGAAAGGCTTCCTGATCTAACTAGCCATAGTTTTATTGATACAGTTGTATTGATCTTGGTTTTTAATACATTCTTTTATTCTTTGATTTGTTTTATCTTCTTGTTGTTCACTGCTTCAAAAACACCATACTAAAATATGCAGCCATATATAAATCTTGTAAGCAAATAAATAATGGCTATAGTCTTCCACAAATTCTTGCATTCCACCAAATATTTGTTATATTTCTGTACTGCCCGATAGCCAAAGCTCTTCTTCATTGCCCCCAGTTAGTCAGTCTGTTACTCTGCATTTACCACCATAGGTATGTCAGGTGTTTTTCCTTCCAGTGGCTAACCAAAAAGAAACAAACAAAAATAAGTGCATGCCATTTAAAAGCAGCTGAGAAAACAGGACCAAACCTTGGCTTGGTCATCATGTGAGGCCTTAGAAGTGCCTCCCTCCCTCCCTCTGACTCACTCAGTCACTCGTTTTTGATTACTAGTTTGCTGTGATGTCCAAACGAATCGCATGCATAGAGATTATCAACTTGATCTGGGATTTTAGGTGGCATTATGTATACCTTGATATTGTGTGTTAGTTGTTTGAATGAAAGGCACTGTACATAAAGCTTTCTTCTTTCCATATTGTCCACAGAGCTTGTTCCCAGATCCACTGTCCATGCAGAATAATTCTGTGCAAGCCCTGAAAACCTTATGGGAAAAAACTCAGCTGAAGGGAACGCACAGCTTTGAAACTGCAATGGTTCAATCTACCTTTCCACACCAGAAGGTAAATCCCTTCCTGCCATGAGCATTCACATGGACATGACACGTACTTCACTTTATTAAAACAAACAAAAGAGATCCTATGGCTACAGGATCTAAACATCCAGATTAAATTGATCGTTTTCCAGAGCTGATGCTGGAATTTGGACCTTCGGCAGTTAAGTTTATGTGCTGATTCATTATATGCTAATGCCAGCCAAGATGGGGAAAGCTCGTAGTGCTTGGTTGTAAATGAGCATATAGATGGAACAGAAACCAATGGAATAGAGAGCATCAATAGGAGGATGCTCTCCTTAGATACAAGCTCTGTAGAAAGCACCGAGGAGGAGTATGAGCTCCATATATCAAGGATGACATAGATTCCAATAAAGCACCAGAGGAAAGAGAAAGAGCACATGTGCTCCTTTTAATATATCTGTTCTCTCTCCCCCTCCCTCCCTCTCCCTCCTCCTCCTCCTCCTCCTCTCTCTCTCTCTCTGTGTATCTGTCCCATTTAGAGTCATATATATAATCATATACATATATACATATATATATGAATATATGTATGTGTTTATATATATATGCATACACACACACACACATATATATATATACATGTATGTATACATATACATATATATATACACACATACACACTATATATCAGAGCTTAGAGAAGACTAATAGAATGTCCCTGCTCCACAATTAACCAAAGGTGAGGGGCATGACATTTGTGTGTTCTTTTTAAATGGTCTTACTTATCAATACCTCCTGGATGGATGATTATTTCTATCACCCTTTAGAAATGAGAAAGCAGAGAAAGAACATAACTTTGGGCACAATGATAAGGAATGTCCTTCATATACTGCTTGGAGGAAAGAGTAGCAAAATGTGATTCTCACTTTTGTAGTTTACCTAGTCTCTAATGCTAGAAGGAACTTTTCTAGACAGATTAAATATAGAAGACATATAAATGTCTATATTTAATTAACTGAATTTCTTAAAGACCTCATAGACAAAATTGTACCAATTAAAACACAGTTTTTAAAAGAAATTGGTTGTGAGCTTACAGGCAGAGTTTGCCTTTTAAACTTTTGAACAGAGTACTGGTTTAATGAAATATTTTAATTCACACTAGTTGGCTAAACTACATGGGCCAGCTGGCATGCTCTTTGCACTTAATAGCAGGGTGGTAAGAGCTTACTGTGTGTATGTGTCTCTATGTGTACTGAGGTATAACTTATAGTACAGGATGTGGAGGGAACTAACCCTGAAAAATGGCAAGTCTAGCAAATCTCATTTGTCCTGGTATGGCGATGTGCTCTGCCCTCTTTTCCCCAAATCCAAAGCCCTATATTGAGTTGGACAAACCAGTGCCCACACCCTCTATACAAGCCTTCCCCAAATTGGTGCCCTCCAGATATTTTTAGCCACAGCTTCCATCAGTCCCATTTAGCATGGCCAGTGGTCAAAGCTGATGGGGCATATCATTCAAAATATCACCAGGCTAGAGAAGAGTGCTGAAAATAGATGGCTAAAGCACACACTACAAATGTCCTTATCGACAAGTTTCCAAGCAAGGGTACATCATCTCCTTCTCCCCTCCTTAATTTCCAGCATCTGTTATTGGAGGAACACTTCCTCTGTCCTTGGAGGTTCTTTTTAGCAGGCCTGGCTATTTTCCACTGATAGGCCTCCATAGGATCTCTGCCATGACTGGACGATAGTGGCAAGGACCTCAGCAGGAGTTAAAATGCTGAGCTCAGCAGTGCTTCCAATAATGTCATCTGCCCTGTTCTTTGAAATGTCTTACATTTCCCTATGTCCCTAATCCCTTACACATGCGGTTGGTATGTAAATGGGGGAAATGCAGAGAAAAGGAGAAGGAAGGAGAGAGAAGGAGAGGGAATTACAGAGAGGAAGTTGCCATAACGGATTGTTTAGTTGCCTTTTGCAAATTCACATAGTTGTGGGCTATGGCATAGACTCCAGAAGGCTAATGATTTGCGCGTGATCTGTTCAGTCAACCTTTGCCCTTTGAAGAGATTACTGTTTCAGAGTAATTACACTTTCAAAGATTGTAAAGAATAATGTTTCAAAGCAAAGCAAAAAGATTTCTGGTCAAAGCTATTAATCTTTAATTGGAGTTCATACAAGTGACCAGCATGGAATGTGTTTAAAACAAAAACATATTTGAGGTAAGTCTGGACTGCCTGCAATTATCCCGTTTTTAAAGGAAAAAAATACACAGAGAACCCTAAGTAAAAATTGCATAATTGAAACCAAGCAAGGAGAGATTCCTTCTAAAACCACCTCTGACATTTTGACTGATAGAAAAGAAAAATGAAAGATCAACAAACATGTAGGAAAAGGCTGCTCTAGTCAATGGTTTGCAATGCTGCAGACACCCCATGCTACTTCATTCTTTTTTGAGATACTTCTATACCCTCTAGATAATAAACTCTCTAAGCAGTGCTATATATCACCAAATACTTTTGCAAGCCCCTTTGGTTTCATAACACTGTCGTGCACGCCCAGCTGCTTTAGCTCCTTAGCCTTAATAAATCTCTGTCCCTATTTACAATGCAAAGCTGGGGAGTCAGCTATGTATCACCAAAAGCCAAGTTGCATACATCTGCATATGCAGTGCTATACATATAGGTGAATATTGAGGGGGAAATGACTGTTGTTTAAATAAAAATACATTATAATGCATCATTGTGGAGAAGTCTGACCTCAGCACCTACCCAGCCCCTTCTCCAGACATCGGACCTACAAAGCAGGCCACCAAAGGGCAGGTGGGGCTTTTCCCCCCAAAAGCTTAAATTTATCTATGGTATCTAAATAAATCAATACCCTTTTGATGGAACAGCAGATATGGGGTTTGATATTATTTCAAAAATGGTTTTTTTCCTATTTTTGACATGAATTCCAAAGTTGTAACAACCATTTCAGGAATCCAAATAACCTCATCCCGTGCTTTTTTCAAGCTCAATGAAAGTAACCATTTAATATGTACAGAGATTCGATCCTGAGCATCCTCAGGTAGGGCTGTAAAGACAGCAGCCTGGAATCCTGGATGGCTGTTGCCAGTCAGGGTCTCCCATGACTACCCATTGCCACTACCTTCATGGGTAGAAAACAGCATAGAGAGAGCAGCTTTGACCTAAAACAAAGCAAAACCCAATGGAAGAAGGACTAAGCAGATTCACACTGTTTTGGCTGTCTGATTTACAAACTACCCAGACTCCTTCTGGCTTTAAAAAGAAGTAAAAACAGAAGAGGACCAACTCCTGGACTGTGTAACATGTAGTTTGACTGGGGAACCACCAAGGAAGAGCAAAGGAAAAAGAGCTCCTTCTTGGAAAGGATTCTTTTTCTAATATGTTGTATAAAATTCTCCAAATACGTCATGCAAGCAGCAACAGCAAGTGCTATTACTCCCAAAAAGCATTAGTTGCATAATCACATTACTATTTGGATGTGGATCCTTAACATATGTGGGCCTGTACTGCTGCTAGCTTTCCAGAAGGCAAAGAAAACTTGTGTAGGCTCCCTGCTGTTGAAGCTGTAACATTTTTGCAACACTGGAGCATTAAAAAAGATTTTGGAAACTCCTACTAGAATCACAACGTCTCTTCTGTTTGCCAATAGAGCTTTTAAAATTCTTTTTGCCTGGTAAGGGAAGGTCCCAGAAGTGAAAGGGAAAGCCCATTATGAGCTGACTATATGACTTCAAGTAGCTGCTAACACCAGCCTTCCTAAACCTGGGGCCCTTCAGTGCTTGACCGGAGGTGTTGAGAACTGAAGCACCTGGCTGGGGAAGGCCAACTGACACTCTTCCTTAAGGCCAAACGAGAGACAATGGCAACGACCAGTCTCCCTAAGTTTCAGTGCTGAATGACACAGGTGGGGACGCCAGAGAAATCCAGAATAGACTCAAATGTGTCTAGATTTCTCTCAGGCTGCCTCATGGATTCTGCAGTGGATCAGGTTTCTCAGGTTGTGCAGAGTCCATGGTACAATTTTTAAATTCTATTTTGTGTGTGTGTGGGGCGGGGGTTGGGGGGCAATTTTAACCATGAACCATGAAAAGTAGCATTATTGCCAAAAATGCACAAATCTCCCTCCATATTGAGGGAGATTTGGACATCTTTGCAGTAATGCATTCATATGAATTTGTACAATGGGTGAGCAATAGGGGAAAAGCCACCTGAAAATCTGCAAAACACACACAGAGTGGCTTCTGCTCCATTTATATGTGAACAAAAGCCCCCCAGAATGTCCTATCCATGACAGCCCTGCTCGGTATTATTTATAAATTCAAGGTAGTGGAGGCAACCCATCTCTTACCTGGTCTTCTTTTTCTTCCACCCTCAACTTTCCCTAGCATGACTGTCATCCCCAGGGAATTTTGCCTTCTCTTGATGTACCCAAAGCACAACAGCCTCAGCTTTGACCTTTTTTCCTCCTAGAGAAAGTTGACCATAAATATCACCAACTGAGCCGATCGCCCCAAAGAGATCCAGTCAGCTTCAAGCATGGTGTGGGGGAAGCCTTGCAGGTGCTCTAAGAGTGAGGCTGGATTGTGCCAGACCGAGTGGGTTTGGAAGGCCTTGGGGCAAGATCCCTTCCCAGGGGCCCCCTCTCACTTTTCACTGCCACCAGCAGCTATTGCGCCTTCTCCGCTCTCATTGCTGCTACCACTTGCTTGCTGGACCAGGAACAGCTAGGCAGGGGCATCTTCTCAGCCCCACCATTGCCTGGGCCAGAGCAGGAGGCATGCGAACAACCAGGTTGCAGTGATGAAAGCGAGGAGCGACTGGGGTGAGGCTTTTGCTTGTTGGCCTACGCTAGGTGCTCAGCAAGTGCCCCACGACGCCTACCTATGATACTGGCTTTGGCATCAAACATCTCAGTAGGATGGAGCAGTACACAGACATGGTACAGATATTTAAAATAATGCAAGGTGCAGAGAAAGTAGAGAGGGAGGCATCCCCCTCCTTGCATGCCACTCAAACC